TTCTCACCCTTTGCCTTTAATTTAGAATCGAACACGAAAAGAGAAAGGGCAATCAAAAGGCGACATTTTTTGGTAGAAACGAAATCACCATTAGTCATTAATCATTAATACTAATTTAAAAAAAATATATGACTGAGTAGTGTAGTATGTCCGAATTTAAAGTTAAACGCCAGTTACTATTACTTTTTTTGTATTTGACACTTATAAAAATCATTTCATATATTAAACAAGTAAGAAAGTCTAAGTTCGGGCGGAGCCGAACATTAAATACCCAGCGCAAGTATTAACTATATGTTTTTTCACCTTTCCGAAGGCTACCGCTACATGGTAAGCCGGGGTGTATCAATTTTGAGTAAATTAGCGCCCTTTACTTTCGAAATATTAAAGTTTCAAGCATTTCTGAAATTTACCGTTATATGAAAAGCGGCCGTAATTTTACCGTACCGAGTTTGGTACAAATTGGTATAACGGTTACCGAGATACATATATGTGATCATAAATGGGCGGTGCCACGCCCATTTTCCAAAATTTTATCATAAACGTATTTCCTGGTAAAGAGTTGTTGCAACCATCAATTTGGAATAAATTAGCTTTAATGTTTACTGATTTATCGAAGATTTTGTATTTCTCTAAATTACCTTTATATAGAATGTGGGCGTGGTTTTTGTCCAATCTAAAAAATTGTCGGCCATTTGGTACACTGTACCAAGGCCAACAACTGAACCAAGATTTGGAAGAAATTGGTGCAGCGGTTACCAAGATATACACATATAACCATAAGTGGGCGTGGGTGGGGTAATTATTGTAAATATCAATTTTGAGTGAATTATCGTCAGTAGTTACTAAAATATCACAGTTTTCTTATTTCTGGAAATTACCGTTGTATGGGAAGTGGGCGTGGTTACGGTCCGATTTCGCCCGTTTTCAATACCAACCTACCTTGGATAAATGGAAACCTACATACCAAATTTCGTTGAGATATCTCAATTTTTGCTCGAGTTATCGTGTACATGGACGGACGGACAGACGGACAGACGGACGGACAGACAGACATGGCTTAATCGACTTCTCTATTCATTCTGAGCATTTATGTATACATTTGTCTATATCTATCTCGATTCGTTTTGGATGTTACAAACAACCGTTATGTGAACAAAGTTAATATACCCTTGCCTTGTGCACAAGCGTGCTCGGCTATAAAAAGGAATTATAAATATTGTTGATAATTTATAAACTGCGAATTTTTACAACAGAGTGCATACGTATACAGGGATACTAAAAGCTAGTTTTCATAAAATCCAGCAGCAGGCCACAAAAAAAAAATCTTTAGAATGATGAAGGAAATCGATTTAATCATAGCTGAATAACTGACTGTGCAGTCAATAAACTATTCACAAAATCTGCTTAATCAAATTAAGAATTAATGTATAAAAATAAGTTTTTTAAACACGATTACGATTACTTGCTTACTCAAAATTAATTTAATCATGGTTAACTTTTATCCGATTAATTTTAAAAATAAACACTGGTACATACATATCGAGCCCTAACCGCCAAAATAACGTAAGCGACATTTTTTTCAAATTTTTATTTTTAAAAAAATCATTTTGAAAAAATGGCGCTTACGTTATTTTGGCGGTTAGGGCTCGATATAAAGGTAGGTATGTACATGTTCAAATATCATAATCAACATACATAGATGTCAAACTAATATTAATTATAGTTACATACATACTTATATTTATATGCATGTTTGTATGTATATAAACGTCTTTGATAAGCCTACTTCAGATAAATATGTATGACTTAAAATTCACTACATGTGTACATATGTACATACGTATGAACAGAGCTTTATTTCTTGCAACGCTTCGTACCTGCATTCATATTTGTATGGATAAGTATTTACATGCGTATGCATATTTTTAGAAAGTTTTAACGTTGTGTCTCAAAATTATCATACGATTATGTACTAACCCAGCAAAAATTCGGTAATCGCTTTTAGTGTTAACGTCTTCTAGAAGGCATAGCGTTATAATGCCTTCGAATTTTTCGCTTCTTTTAGACATTGCCGGTAATGCAAATGTCCTACAATAGTTTACTTATTTCGCTTCTCCGTTTCATTTCGGAGAATGCAAAGTAGAATGTCCTATAATATATATATATATTTTTATTCAATTCGCTTCTTTACTTCATTTCGGGGAATGCAAAGTAGAATGTCCTGCAATATTTTATTTGTTTCGCTTTTTTGCTTCATTTCAGGGAATGCAAAGCAGAATGCTGCATCGTAGTCAGCTGAAAAATATAATGAATATCCAAACATTCTTTTTCTACCGTTACTTTCTGTGGAAATTTGTCTCGCGAAGTTGAAGTCAGTCAATGAAGTGAAGTACAAGAGTGAGGAAGTACAATTTTAAGCTTAATTAAATATGCATGTATGTACATACCGATTTTTAAGTAAAATATAAATGCCTAACTACATACCTACATATGTATGTATAAAAACTGATTTATAAAAATTTTAATTAATTTTAATCTTTTAAGACATTTTCTGATTTCAATTCAATATACATAAATAAGTATGTACTTGTCTAGACATTCTACATTAGTTTCTCTGTAAGGCATTCTTTGTTCGCTTCTCTGGATTCGTCTACCCATGTGTTCTCCCTTCCTTCGAAGGTAATGCTGCGGGTAAGGGCTTACGGCCAATGACATGCCCATGCTTAAATAAGGCCTTCTTGAAGCGAAAGTGTAAGCGATTCCCATCGCCTAGCTCGGTTCAACTTTCGTTTCTGTGGTACTCGTGTTTTTGCTGGGAACAAGCACATAAAAGTATACATATACATACATACATATGTACATATTAATTTAGCTGCTGACTGAGAGAACTAAAGTCATCGGCCGGCATTCGGCTGAACACATTTATGCTCTCAGAAGTTTGTAGTTAAGCACTTTGAACAATATTCCATACTGCCATTGGTGAAGTGTAAGCAAATGCATCGACACATGTTGAGGGTTTTAATATCACCTTTCTAATCTGAATGCTAAAAAGTGTTATTGAATTTGTTAGACTAAGGTCAAAGTCATTCAAGCTCCAGCCCCTTCTATAATCGTTCGAGAATCAAATATTCAGTTAACTTTTAAATGACGTTAGCTCACTTGTTGGTCCGCATACGTTTACTCCCTGTTTGGAAAAACCGATCAATATTAAACTGGTTGTATTGTAGTAAACACTCAGCAATGCTTGCTTGGTACTGTTTTTTACATGTAGTACGAGAATGCCACAGAATGAATATTTACCAGAACACGCAAAACTATTTCTGAGCTCATCTTAACCATATGGGAAAGGGAGTTTTGGCTGTGCCTTTTGCATTTATCCTAATTAAATAAATATCTGTCAAAGTAAATATATAAGAGGTAAGCTCCCTAGTAGGGGTACAATAAGTATTGCAAGTTATTCTAGTGAAGACTTCTGTTACCTTTGTCAACGCCTGCCTTATTTTTTATTTTATTATTACTCTAAATACAGTATTTCCCGGATGTTTGCACTATCGAAAATACACGAGATTTAGGGCTTTTAAGCGCGATTGCTTGTATGGAAATCCCGCTTACAGGTTCTAACTGTGCTTATATTGAAATCCTCGGTTATAAATGCATGCATACGGTTCATCTATGTAATAGAACCAAACGAACTCCTACTTTTATATTTAAAGCTCACTTTATATTTAAAGGTTAGATTAAAAATAAAGCTATGTCTAAAGTTAAGCATTTCTTGGTTGCAAACCGAAAAAGAGTCAGAGTTCAGATTACCCTATGAAGACGCCTTCACCGATTCCAATCGGGACCAAAATTTATATGTGATATCTGAGACCCTGGTATTACCGATAAAGTGGGTGAGACTGAAAAAAATCGTTCATTTGATTATAAGGACCACGCTAATGTACATATTTAAATAGGGAAACTTTTTTTTTAACTTTTCTAAAGCTTATAAGCGGGAAATATTTATAACCAGGGTGATTATTAGCGAGATATACGGTAGTAACAAGATTTAAAGAAATAACTACATTTTAATCTCATACAAAAATTAGAATCAAAAGATCAGAATTTCCTACCGGGTTACCAATTTTTTTCCTATAACATTGTTAAAGTGACGTTTGTTTAGCGCAACTCTATTAGAACCTTGCACACAAACAACATGCATAATCTCACGCCATCATATCAGCTCGTTACTAATGCCTACGCTCACACCTATACTTATCTACTCAATTTTTAGCACTTTTCATGAATGTCAACAAAGGTCAATTCGCATTTTAATCCACTGATGGTTAAAAGCAACAGCTATGCAAAAGAAAAGGAAGTGTAGAGTTATGGCTTATCAAGAAAGTAATAAATAAGTAAGTGTATATGAAGCGTTTTTGCGGAACCACGTGGCTTCAGTGCAATATAAAAATTTGCCGGTCACCCCTGGTTCATATACAGGCTTCTCACACTCATTTAGTTAGCTCACTCTCATCAACCGACTGTTAAAATAAAGTTGTTCATAGTACACAAAAGTACGTACATATGAGCCGTTTATTTTGAAAGCGGCATAAGTCACTTTACACCACTTATGCTTGTATATGAACGCGTCCGTTATTCGTTGAACTTCATCCACTGATGGTAGAGGATTTTGTCGTTAGTTTATGAAAATAGAGCTACTATTTAGAGATGCCTTCAGTTACAAGTAGCCATTCATTTAACCACAAGAGGTACGAAGTGACTTATGCCACTTTCAAAATAAACGGCTTATTAGTATGGCATTGCCCGTACGTATGTTAATACATTTATGTATATGCATGTACCCGTACATACATTTATTTAATAGTGCAAGGTACGCCATTTCGGCCCTTTTTAAGTTTTTGCAAATCACGCCACTAACTCAAATAACTGTTCCTTTTAGCAATAGTTTAAGCAGATTTTCAGCATGTAGACATTAATTACAAATTAATTACTAAACTTACCCGGATTTCGATGCCTGTGTTGATGTAATAGAATGGATACGCAGACGATGAGCGATATCTTTCAGCTCCTGGATAGCTTTTGCTTCAGGCTTGTGGTACGACATTTTTACACTTTTGTGATTGACTTCGTTGAATGAAAATTTTCAAAGGAAATTCTTTGCTGAAAATATTTAAGAATTTGTGACAAAGTCGCGTCCACGTCCGTTCTAAGCTAACCAAAGCGACTGGCGTACAAAAGCGAACTGACGATAGAGCCTTAGTAGCTTACCCCACTAACCGGTTGCTCAAGCGTTTCAATGCTTGACTTGTGGTAGTTGGATTGTATTGTAACTTTCGGTTCATTTTCTCCCTACTTACTATCAGCTCCAGAAAACGTATGGAAAGTATCCACGCTTGAAAGTCAATGCAAATGTATTGGTAAGACAGAACGAAAGCGGATTAATACCCTGTAGAGAAAACTTGAATGCACCAGTGAGACGAAAGTTTTTTTAATCGCGGTCATTGCTGAATTCATAGTGTTCGACTGCGACTGTATCTATGGCATATGTAAGTAAAGAATAGGGCCCGTTGAGCTAGAAAAACGGTGAAAGAAATATTTGACACTAGCTTATTTGAAAACTTGAAAAATTTCTATAAGATAGCCGAACGTCCATAAAATACAGAAAATAAAGCGAGAAAGCTGCTTTATTACTACACCTGTTTTTAATTTCACCGTGGGTAGAGATGTCGCCTATAATTTCGTGTGTCGCAGGTTCAAATTCCGGCACATGCATTAATTAAATCATAGAAAAAAAAATGTATACTATACAAATAGCCACGGTGACCTAATAACCAATGTCCATAACGTACTTAAAATATGGAGAGAACACTTTTCCACCGAGCCCCAGTCGATGACGACGGATCCGGTGCCTGACTATGATCAGGTACGAATTGCAGTTACTCGGGTGAAAAACAATAAAGCTACTGGAGCTGACGGTCTACAGGCTGAGCTATTCAAGTACGGTGGCCAGGATTGGGTAAGGTGCACGCATCAACTTTTATTCAGACTATAGTCAGATGGACGCATGCCCAACACCTGAAATTTAAGTGTGCTCTGCCAAATCCTCAAGAAACGAGACCCCATCATACGCGCAAAGTACCGTGAGATCAGCCTTCTAACCATCGAATACAATAGCTCTGATCCAATACTTTTCGTGGAAAAATCCTGTAAAACTGTCAAACAGCAAAATTACTCTCTGAAGTGAGAGTAAAAAGTGATTGACAACAAAAAGTAGGGGAACAAAAAAACCATTTTTCCTGTAAAAACGCCAACCAGTGATTGCTTGAAACTTTTCATGATTTTACCAGAAGAAAAAGTTCGGGTAAAATCTTGCAACTTCATTCTCTACACAACTCTCCAAAAGTCGCCCTCATTTATAAGATTTTGGAGTACGGAAACATTTTTCCTGCAACTTCCTGCAAGTTCGTGTAAAATCCTGTAAGTTCATGGAGTACTGGATCAGAGCTAATATCTTGTTGAGCATATGATTTATTTAATCTGATGTTGGAGAAGAGAAAAAAGGACCGCGGAACTGATAGGGTGCTTGGGTAAGAGGCCCTGAAAGCAGCATTACAGGCATTTTCACAAAGTTCACCGCTTCATGAATTTTTTGGCGATGACATCAGTTCACTGAGAGAGGCAACCTTCGTGCTCGAGAGAATCACTTCATCAGGTCTTATTAGGACTTATCGCGAAAACCGTGTATTTCTATATTTTAGATTTTTCTCAGTCGGTTCGTTTCTTGGTACTGTATAAGAGTGAGCTTAATGTAGAAGTGGTCAGAAAACAAGTGATCTTTGGACACCAACAATCTCTTTATCTGGTCAGAAAAACTGCTTGATACCAGGCTGATGTCCAGCACTTCTCGTCTAACAGAGATCACAAAGAGGGATCGTTGCCACACCGGACACTCAAGAAAGTAGTGATGGAACGAATATTGGCGGGCCCTGGCCGATGCTGGGCAGGGACTATAGATTCCTCCATAACGCGGCAAGCTCTTTCGAGAATACCCCACATCTCAACTTGGTGTTTATGACTACTGAACTAAGATACAGAGCAGAAGACGATGCTGTGCAGTCCAAAAATTTAAGTTTGAAGAAGATTTTCCACTGTTCATGAGTGTCAATGAGTTCAAGTCAGGTGTTGAATTTCTGTACATATATTTACTTTTTTTTAATTTTTTGTATCTTAAGCTTTGTGTGATAGTGCTGACACTTGCGTTAGCACCTTGTGCCGATTTTCTGGTTGGTCTTAATTTAATTTTTTAATTTTTCAGCTTCGCTATAGTTTTAAGAAATCTAACGTCCAAATTAGTAAAAACCTCCCCGACCCATATCAGATAATATGGGGCTTAAAACAATGGAATGCCATTTGGGGCAATTTTTCAATCCAATATTGAAAAGTATAATCTGGTTACCTGTACCACCATACCCTGCTCTGTACATTGGTTTATGTCGAACCTATTGACATCGCACCCTGCGGCGGTGCTCAAAACTCGTTTTTCAAATGAGCCGTTTATTTCGAAGATGGCATAAGTGCCTTTGTTTTTAAATCCAGATATGTAAGGGTTACCACGTTTAAAAATATTGATGCTAACTCTCCTGAAGATTTTTCAGTACAAGTAATTTCGTTCACCACTTTTCATTAAGGTGAAGGGACTTATGCCACTTTCAAAATAAATAGTTCAGAAAAGTTACTTACTTACATATATCAATATTGTTGGATGTATTTTACTGAAGTGACGTTCTGAAATCACTGCAATTTACTAAAATTTATGAAAAAGTCATATTATATTATAATAGTGTTAATTATAAAGGTTTATTCAATTAAATTGTAACACCGTGCAACAAAAACCAAAAAAAATTAAAAACACACGAAACAAATATAGCAAAACTGCGTTTTAAGTGATTCCCTCAGGGGTCAGGATTTTTCTTTAAATGACTTTGAAATTTCAAAGATATGACTAGCTCCAAAACTTATTTAAAAATTTCAGTGTAATCTAGAATACAAATATGGGTACCAAATAGGAGAAAAACATTTTTAGCATTTAAAAATATTACATTTTTTTGGTTCACAAGGACGAATTGGCATTGAAAATGCCCTTTTAATTATATTTATTTTTTTAAGCCATTAAAGTAGACGGACCAAATTCGAGTGTATGGTCGTGTGTGTATTAACTCTTAACCCATAAAAATACAGTCTTACTATAATTAGCTCCTAGTTTTGTGGGTATGCTTTGTTTTATGTAAAATTCTCGGTGTAATTATTTTTATGATTAACTTAATTTTTTAAGTGGCCACTTTCAAAATAAACGTCTTCGTTATACCGCTGATTAGTAAAACTTCTCTCTGATATAACTTCGGTAGTTCCCAACATCGCAATGCAATTTTTTTCAAGGAATAGATACCGTTAAATTGTAATTAGTGTTAATATTAAATAGATTTTTTTTGAAAAGGTGGCTTATGCCACTTTCAAAATAAACGGCTCTAATGTTGATGTAAAAGGAAAAATTATACTAGCAGAGTCATAGCAAAGTACCACATCTCGTGTATAAATATTTGGTTCCTAACTGCTGCTAGCTGTCGGGTACTCAAAATCTAAGTTCAGTACGATATCGAAAGCGACTTCATTTACGTTATGGAAATATGTTTCACAGTGTTTAAGGATAATATATGTACATATATGCATATATGTATCTCAAAACTATCTCCTCCACAAGAGGCTGTCGGTGTCTCTCAAACGCTTATGATTACTAAATTTTTGTGTCGGGTAATGTAATGATGACCAGTGCAGTTTCCAGCTACTTCGCGGTACGTGTGAAATCAGAGGCAAACTGGACTTAGGCAAAATACGAAAAATCTAAGGGTAGTTTCCGAATGCTTGCTTTTCATTTCCATGAAAGAAGCTAATAAAGTAAAAATCGCCAACTCCCTAAATAATTAAAGCAAAAAATACGATTTTTTTAATTTATTTGTTATATGGTTTTATTTTTTTGTAAACATAAATTTTTTCGGGGCAATTTGAATCGCATTTGCATGTATATTTAATTTCTTTTTATAATTTTGTAATATGTATACAAATTTCGCTAAACTTTTTCGTCAAATAAAACAACTTAAATAGACGATCCTTACATACCAACTTTAAAAAATTACTTTCGTTTTTAACAATTGATTAAATACACATTGCAATATAGATAATCAGCGCTATGCATTACGCAGAATAATATATATCTCTGTGCACTTTTTGATTTAAGTTAAGCGATGTTCACATATGCGAGTGCCAATGTCTTTATTTCAAATTTCAGCTTATGATTTCCATATATCCTATCCTTCATAACACTTTTAACTTAAATCTGTTTTCAGTAAGAATATACCAAAAAATTGTCATTCGTGGGGACCATATTTTACAATTCATCCTTGTGCAAACATCGAGAGTTATGGGTAATATCATAATATGTATGTATGCATAATGTTTTATGTATGTATGTTATAATAAATAAATAACTTAAATAATGAACAAACTTCTTCTCTCATATTGCCTCACTTGCACATACATACTTCTATATTTAGATTAATCCTATTTCATTCATTTGTTAGCATAATCGATAGTTCAAATGATTTAAAATGTACTGAATATAGCATTTTATAGTCAAATATCAACAAGTTTTACACAATTTAGTTATCTTATCAGTGTTTCATTATCTTACAAAAACATATCGAAAAATGTATTTGCCAAAATAACCAAACAAATGCGGTTAGAATAACCTTATGAGAAAAAAGATAGACACAAAAAATAAATGCTTTTATAAACAATATTCTCACAAAATAAATGAAAACACCTATAAATACTATTAAATGGTATCAAACTGGAAATGAACTAAAAATTTTGTAATCTTAGCGCAAATATATAGTCAATAAAATATTGCATATAGTTTTTACCGTTATACTCTCAACTTATGTATCCAGAATTTCGCACTTTATGAAAGCACCTAAACATAATAAGCCTTATCATGAGTTTCATTTTCCCCGAACCGGTTCACTTTTAACTCTTGGTTTTACAATGCGCGAATGACAAATTTTCGGGTGAATTTTTTTTTCATGTGAAACTCAGGAGAAGGCAGAATTTCTTATTGCTAACAAAAGCAACAGTTAAGTTATAAAACAATTTAAACTTAATTAGACATTAAAGAGCTGGCGAAGATTTATGGTTGTCAAAAAAAAATTTAACTTAATCGAAACGAATATATATGTCCATTTATTAGCATAGTGGCGCGTTTTAACTGAAGCTATTTATAATGTTCCCAAAGATATTGACTCCAACGCTGAAAAAATGGCCGCATCTTAATGGAAGTTCACTGCCTCAATTCATTTCCCATTCGTTTGGTGTGTTAAACGAACTCGTTGCATTTTGTATTTAGATTTATGACTTTTTATTCCAGCGAAATTCCTTGTATCCATGAACTTAAATCGCTTGTATCTGCTTCCATAAAAACCCCCACCGGCTCATCTTTAGAGAGAATGTGTTGAGCAGCCGTCCGTCCACTCAAATAGGCACCATGTACAGTTGAATAAAAGTTGGAGTGTGTATGCTCGCCAGCGAACAAAACTGCAGGCTGAATGATAAGTAAATGCTTATTAACATTACTATAAGTATGTATGTATATGCTACGGTTATTGGTCGGTTATAGTCACTTTCTAAGCATTATTTTGTGGCAGGTTCTTCAATACCTACATAGTAACGCGTTTTTGTCTAAATTAAGATGGCTTTTTAAAAAGTCTAGGCATATTCCCGCTTTATACATTTTATAAAAAATTAATAAGCACAGTTGTTGTTGTTGCTGTTGTAGCAGCTACTAAGCCCCGCTCAGGTCGGTTCATCCGTCAACGTTGTCGTCCATTTCAGCTAGGAGGAGGCCCAGGAAGTGTGCGACTTCCACAGGGTCTGTCCATAGGGACAGGGGCGTAAGCTCAGTGGGGTTCTCAGGGCATGTGAAGAGGTGCCGGGAGTCATGCGACGACTCTCCACATGCCGGGCATTGGTTGGGCACATCCTCATTGATTCTGCTCAGGTAAGAGCCTGCTGCAATAGCCAGAGCGCAGCTGGGCTATTGTAGTGCGGGTCTCCCGAAGCAGACAAAGTTCTTTCCCGTCCATGCCCGGTGGTTGTGTGCCTAGAACGACACAGGGCGGGAGTCTACGTAACTCGAGACTGATTCCCTGTGAATATCGTAAGGGGCCTGTCGGTAGGTTGACGGGTCCAGAGGTTGTTTAATAAACCTCTGGACTTCGTCCGTCAGTTCGTAGAGATGCCTCCTGACGTGGATTGGCGAGGGCTCTTCTGCAAGCAGCTGTTTGCTGGGATGACCGCGTCTGTGGCTCCCCATAAGGAACTGCTGGCAGAGCATTGCATTGTGCTCCTTTACTAGGAGCATCTGGGTCTCGTCGTGTTGGTGGTGCTGGGGCGTCATCAGGAGGCATCCAGTCGCTGTTCGTAGTGCCGTGTTCTGGCAGGTCTGTAGTTTCATCCACCGCGTCCTGCTAGTCCCCGGCGACCATACGCGCATAGTTTAGAATCGGCCGGCCAATTGCCTTGTATGTTGCCAACATCGTTTCTATATCTTTGCCCCAAGTGCTTTCGGCCAGCGACTTGAGGAAATTGTTGCGGCTCGGTACTTTGTTGACAATTGCGGTTGTATGCGCCGAGAAGGAGAGCAGACTGTCGAAGGTAACTCCGAGGACTTTCGGGTTATTCACCGTCGGTATTACGCCATCGACGTGAATACCCAGTTGCAGTCTGACCTCCTTCGTCCAGGTGGTGAAAAGGGTTGCCGAGGATTTCGCAGGGGATAGGGCAAGGCTCCTTGCAGTGAAGAAGCGAGAAAGTTCGGCGAGATAACCGTTTACTTTCGAGTCATCAATTCCATTCCCAGACGCCTTGATCGAAAAATCGTCGACATAGGAGACAATATTAACACCCTCTGGTGGTTGAGGTAGCTTTGAGATGTAATAATTAAACAGTAGCTGGGACAGGACACCNGGTTCATCCGTCAACGTTGTCGTCCATTTCAGCTAGGAGGAGGCCCAGGAAGTGTGCGACTTCCACAGGGTCTGTCCATAGGGACAGGGGCGTAAGCTCAGTGGGGTTCTCAGGGCATGTGAAGAGGTGCCGGGAGTCATGCGACGACTCTCCACATGCCGGGCATTGGTTGGGCACATCCTCATTGATTCTGCTCAGGTAAGAGCCTGCTGCAATAGCCAGAGCGCAGCTGGGCTATTGTAGTGCGGGTCTCCCGAAGCAGACAAAGTTCTTTCCCGTCCATGCCCGGTGGTTGTGTGCCTAGAACGACACAGGGCGGGAGTCTACGTAACTCGAGACTGATTCCCTGTGAATATCGTAAGGGGCCTGTCGGTAGGTTGACGGGTCCAGAGGTTGTTTAATAAACCTCTGGACTTCGTCCGTCAGTTCGTAGAGATGCCTCCTGACGTGGATTGGCGAGGGCTCTTCTGCAAGCAGCTGTTTGCTGGGATGACCGCGTCTGTGGCTCCCCATAAGGAACTGCTGGCAGAGCATTGCATTGTGCTCCTTTACTAGGAGCATCTGGGTCTCGTCGTGTTGGTGGTGCNATAAACCTCTGGACTTCGTCCGTCAGTTCGTAGAGATGCCTCCTGACGTGGATTGGCGAGGGCTCTTCTGCAAGCAGCTGTTTGCTGGGATGACCGCGTCTGTGGCTCCCCATAAGGAACTGCTGGCAGAGCATTGCATTGTGCTCCTTTACTAGGAGCATCTGGGTCTCGTCGTGTTGGTGGTGCTGGGGCGTCATCAGGAGGCATCCAGTCGCTGTTCGTAGTGCCGTGTTCTGGCAGGTCTGTAGTTTCATCCACCGCGTCCTGCTAGTCCCCGGCGACCATACGCGCATAGTTTAGAATCGGCCGGCCAATTGCCTTGTATGTTGCCAACATCGTTTCTATATCTTTGCCCCAAGTGCTTTCGGCCAGCGACTTGAGGAAATTGTTGCGGCTCGGTACTTTGTTGACAATTGCGGTTGTATGCGCCGAGAAGGAGAGCAGACTGTCGAAGGTAACTCCGAGGACTTTCGGGTTATTCACCGTCGGTATTACGCCATCGACGTGAATACCCAGTTGCAGTCTGACCTCCTTCGTCCAGGTGGTGAAAAGGGTTGCCGAGGATTTCGCAGGGGATAGGGCAAGGCTCCTTGCAGTGAAGAAGCGAGAAAGTTCGGCGAGATAACCGTTTACTTTCGAGTCATCAATTCCATTCCCAGACGCCTTGATCGAAAAATCGTCGACATAGGAGACAATATTAACACCCTCTGGTGGTTGAGGTAGCTTTGAGATGTAATAATTAAACAGTAGCTGGGACAGGACACCATCCTGTGGTATCTTTAATTTTACGTGGTTTGCTATTTTTATACCCGAGCGCACTTGTGCACAAGGGTATATTAACTTTGTTCACATAACGGTTGTTTGTAACAGGCAAAACGAATCGAGATAGATATAGACAAATGTATACATAAATGATCAGGATGAAAACAGAAATCGATTAAGCGGTGACTGTCTGTCCGTCCGTCCGTCTGTCCGTCCGTCTGTGCACANATAAAATTTTGGAAAATGGGCGTGGCACCGCCCACTTATGATCACATATATGTATCTCGGTAACCGTTCTACCAATTTGTACCAAACTCGGTATGGTTATTGTGCTTGCCACATAAAAGCAAAACGTTCAAAATTATTGAAATCGGACTAAAATTACGGCTTTTCATATAACGGTAAATTTTAGAAATGCTTGAAACGTCAATATTTCGAAATTTAAGGACGCTAATTTATTCAAAATTGATACACCCCGGCTTACCATGTAGCGGTAGCTTTCGGAAAGGTGAAAAGGCATATATGTAATACTTGCGCCGGGTATTTAATGTTCGGCCCCGCCCGAACTTAGACTTTCTTACTTGTTATCTCTAAAAATTACTGACGAGTGTCGACCACTCAGGTAATTCGTCGACCACCGTTTGAGTCCCTGTGGGAGTGAGGAGGCCTTTATATCTTCTACTAGCGTTGAATGACACTCTCCTTTGTTGGCTGGTTTCCCCGGTTTGAGCAGTGGGACCACTCTCCCCATTTTCCAGATGTCTGGAATGACGAGAGTGGCCATATACAGGTTGAGGACCTCCGTTAGGTATGCTACTCCCGCAGGACCCAAATTTTTCAGCATCAACATATTCCGTCGGGTCCAATGGCTTTGGTGGCTTTCGCCTTCCTGATGGCTACCCTTACCTCACCGCTGGTGAAAACAAAAGGCGCACTGGGTTTTGGCATTTTGTGCAGCCTTCTGGTCATTCGATGTTTGGCTTTATTCACCGGAGGATGCAGAATGAACTGCCGGCTAAAATATCTCGCGCATCGTTCCGACGAAGCGTGGTCACCAAACTCTATTTCGACTCTGTCGTCACACTTCGTCGGGTTGAACAACGACCTCACGGTTGACCACAGCTTGCTCACACCAGAGGCGAAGTTGCAGGTCTTCAAATGCTCTTCCCATTTCTTCCGCTTATGTACGTTCACAACAAGAATGATAGAATACAAGATTGCGCCGATCAGAGAGGATTTTTGAGAATAACTTTTGTGTGACGTCGCACTGGTGCAATTGCGAGAGCGGAATGCCAAAACGTGAGCAAGAATGGAAGAAGAAGAAAAAATGTTGCAAGGAAAACGTAAACAAGTTGCACAAGTGTGACGTCATGCAAACAACGATTCTGTCAAATTCGTTAAGAGAGGAATAGCGGTCCGAGATCGGCGCAACCTTTGTATTCTCTCAATCGTGCGTTCACAAGTTTCCGAATCTCCGAATTGAGATCCCTGATTCGGGGATTTCCGGGATCGGCCTGACGAAGGTTGTCGCACTCATCGGCTAGAACAGCCGCTTCAGCAGGAAAGTTCAGACGTGGATTCTTAATACATCCTGCTGGGATGAAGCGAGCTGCAGCAGCAGTGACAACCCTGCGGAATTTACGTTCACCTACATGAACGTCGGTTGGTATGGGCAGTGCAGTGAAGGCGCCTTCAGTAACATCCGCGAAGCCTTTCCAGTCAGCTTTGGAAAAGTTGACATAGGTCCGGTGATCCACGGAAACAAAGTCGGTACGTTTATCAATCGAGATGACTATGGGCAGATGGTCTGATTCTAGGGTCAGCATAGGTCGCCATGATACGCTGTTTATCAGACCAGCGCTGACAATTGTTAGATCTGGCGAGCTGCAGCAGCTGCCCATAATCCTGGTGGGTGCGTCGTCGTTCATTGTGCAGGATGTCGTATCGTCTATCTGCTCAGCCAGATGTATTCCTCTACGATCATTTGACAGGCTTGAGTGCCAAAGATCGTGGTGCGCGTTAAAGTCACCAACTGCCATACGGTTTTCACCTCTGAGTAGCGCACCTATTTCAGGGTGATATCCTGCCGGGCAGCTGGTGACAGGGGGTATGTATACGTTAAATATTTCGAGCTCAATATCGCCTGACCGGATAGCAATACCCTGACATTCTAGGATGGTATCCCTGCGGTCGATGTCTGCTTCAATAAGACCTCCACCATTGTATC